ACATGTGCTCCAATGTTGTCAGTCATGTAGGAGAGGGGATCTCCCATGTAACCATTCAGCGAGGCCGTGACATCAGAGGGAATTCCAGGATCGGCTGCAGCCTGAATAATAATGGCAGAATTATCAGTAACGTTGCTCATCCCGCTAACTGTTGGGGTGTTGTTAAGAAGGGGCCTAGAAGAAATGATGGAGGAATCATTATTTCTTATAAGTTCCATGATGGCACCAAAGTGCTGAGATAGCTGATCAGCTGTGGTTGCCAAAGCGGGAGGAACCGGGACGGGAGTGGCTGTAACCGGGGCAAGAACTGGCAATAAAAGTGAAGAATTAACGTTAACATTTGGCATTGCAGACGGGGGCTTATCGTGCGAAACGAAGTTTGGTAACTCACCTGGTGCTGTGGTTGTTGTTGCAAATAACGTCCCACTTGCAGTAGTAGTCCTCCGGTTCTTACCGCTGGTCCTCACCAGCTTGTGATTTATAGATGCCTTATGCTTAGTTGGCATTATGAGTCGGGTGTATGGCGAAAGAGAAAGTTGAAGCGGAAGAGTAATAATAATCGGTGAAGAGGTGTCGAAATTAGCAGTCACAAGCTGAAAAGTAGAGTCGAAGAGCCAAAAGTTGAGAATTGCTGTACAAAACTGGGTTCAGAACATTTTGACAGAACTAACGGACGATGGTGATGATGCAAGAGAAAGTTTGATGACGTCATAGGAAGTAGAAGTATGACATAAGAGGAAATGATGTAACGAAGGTAAACAAAGAGGTGCATTATGGTTAATAAACCCATTTAGTGAGAAGCACTAAATGAAATTAGTATTCCCCGTTTTGAATATGTTTCTGTCAGTTTCAGAACACACAAGCTTTTTGTGGTAGGACTCAAAACCAGAAACTGTCATTGCTCTATGTCACATTGTGGTGTTATGAAATTGTCCATTGTTCTCTCGTTTAATTGGTTGTTTTCAGTTGAAGATAAGAGATACTTCTTCTTGTGGACCAAAGTGTCCCTGAGTATGGCACTTCCAATCAAATGAGATTTGAAAACAGTAGTAGGTCACAGATACCTGTTTTTGTAGTGGTATTGAAGTCCACCAAAAGATCATTTCATTGGAGATGCAAATCAGCACTTTAATACACGGGAGAATTATTTGACTGAGAGTTTTGTTCCCATCCTTTTCTGATCTTTTTGGAGGAATAATACCATCACATGCTTGGTCTGAGACCTAATGTGGAGAAAGAGATTTCCCTCCAAATGTTGGAATATGCTGGATGTCACGCCCCATTCATTGCTGTGGATTCTCCAATTTTATCAGGACAGACCAAGTGTGGCTTCTCCATTGTAGGTTTGATACTATGGTCAAGCTGCAAGAAGATCTCTCTACGCAAACTTTGATATCCTTCCATGTTTTGTGGACACAGCTTCAATATCATTTGCCGCATGGCTGTTTACCCAGAACCAGTTTGTGCACCTGCAACTAGTCCACTTACACAGTCAGCTGGATTCCTACCTTTCGGCTGATCAGGACAAAAGTTATCGTCAGCAAAGTAGTATCATTCTCATCCGACTGATGGCTAATTTTGTTTCCTCATACATACAACCAAGTCAGTCCAGTTCAGGAAATTGTGTCATAGGTGCTAGGTTCTAGCTTGTAGGGGGAAGCCTCTGCCCTCCAGAAGACTGCTGCCTCAGCAGTCTAGCTGTGGTCAAGAAAGTGTTGGGCCGTCCACATAGCTCCTTTCAATTGTAAATGTCCAAAGAGGCTGTTTACAGTTGTCTCGAATCCAAATGTGAACAGATCTCTCCAGTTTGACTCGATCATTCGGATTCAACCAAACTTCATCCTGGAACTCAACATTCAGAGACACAATGTTCCGAAGTAAGTTCCACTTGTTTTCCCACTGCCCAATCATCACTTGTTCATGGATGCATGAAACTCGCAGTGGGATGCACACATGGAAAAGCTGACCTTCCAAGGACTTTTTGTGGACAACTGTTGAGAAATAAAGGCCATATTTTATGCTCTCACACCCACAGTCTGTCATCAATCTTTGTGGAGACAATACCATAGTTGTTGCCTACATACAAAGACAGGTCGCTTGGACTGATGATGGAGACTCTGTGGCTATTTGCCTTTGAGGACTTGATCAACTGCAGGGTGGAAGTGAAGCACATTCTTGGGAAACTCAACACCCTGGCAGACAGTCTGTCCAGACGAGGGAAAGTGGTATCCACACACTCCACATCTTGACCTCTTTGCTACTTGCATTAACTCCCAGTGAATCAGTCCAGTAATGCATACTTCATCCCTCCCTGATCTCTTCTAGACCATGTCCTACAGAATAGACTGTATGGTCATACTCATAGGATCACCAGGATCTTCGCTCACCAGGATCTTCCCACTGGTCATTGAGAAACCTCTCAATGTTCACCTTCATCGAGACCTCCTTAGTCAACCTGATACAGACATCTTCCACCAGAACCTATCCAGTCTTCATCTTCACGTCTGGAGGCTAACATGTCTAAAATGCAGGGTTCCTGGTTCACCAAGTCTGCCTCTACAGCTGTTTTCTCCAGATGTATCCAACAATATATTTATTTACTGTGCACCATCAAACAATCTATTCATTTCCACTATGAACACCGAAATCTAATTTTCCACAATACTATTCGTTTTTTCACCACTGCCAACAAATTAGTCATTTTGGGCATATTTCTGAACAAACTATTCACTTAAAAAATCAGCGACTAACGGGATTGGTTGGTCAAGCTCACTGACTTGCATGGATCGCTGCTCATGATGTCTATCACAGTATTGTCTGGTCAAGACTTGATAAATTTACAGACCGTCGTCATATAGCTGGAATATTGCTGAGTGCAGCGTTAAACAACAAACAAACAATAACAAAACTTTAAAAATATTTCGACCTAAATTTGAGAAACTCACTAGCAATTCCAGCTGGCCCTGGAACCTTGTTATTGGGTTGATGTAAATATCAGACCATTCTTTCTGATCTGAAATAGGTAGATTTGGGGAGTAAGATGGCTTGTAGCTGGAAACACAAAATGCTCTTGTTATTGCTTTAACTATCAAAGTATAATACTGTTTTAAAATGGTCTTTCCACTGCTGATGTGTTAATGTATTTTCAGATCCCAGAATATGATCTACATTCTTTAATACTGCGTCTCCAAATTAATATGACTGCTGACCCCTAATCTTGTGTTATGTGTCGATTCCCAAATTGAAACAGTTTGTTAACCCAGAATCAGTACGTAAAAGTACTTAGTGTGAAACCAACAAACAACAGACAAGTGGCATACATGTACAATCAAGAAATGTATTACAAAATTCTGTTAGTTTGCAAATCAATACTAATGATAGTACAATATTCAATGGCAATATATAATATGATGACAGTGGTCAGTATCAGATACAAAAATACAGAGGTGATAGCCAAAGTCAGTGATAGTAATATATATTCACCCATAGACGACAATGGTCAAACTTCCAAGATGGGATAGGCAGGGAAACAGGGATGATGAGTGATCCTCACATGAAAGTTGGTACTGATGTAATGAAATGCATGAGAGACATGTCAGCACACTTTTGTCCCCTTATATACAGTCTAACTGGCTACTGGAAATTTCTACACAGTGCCCTTACCAGTCTAGCGGCACTCGAACATCACAGAATATTTCACCACTGTGTACTAGAACTTACACGTCATACTAGCATCTAAATATAGTAACTTCCTGATGAAATATGTTTGAATTGTTACCTTGATTCGTTTTGTCACTGTGTGTACATCTGACTACACTTCTTAACGATATTACAGGACAGACCAACTGTCAACAACGTCTGATGGTGGCCGTGACATCTCATAGACTAGGGTTAGAGTAGCTTCCCTTTGACAAAGGGCAGTTACTCTAGCGGACAGACCGATGGATTGCTGCGAAAGGCAATTAAAAACAACTGTTGTTTTGCGTATATGTTGCTTCGCCACTGTATAAGAAACAGATTTCAGTTGGAACTATATTGGCTACTGTCACTGTCCGACTGACACATCACTTACCCTGTGACGTAATAAATATTAATGTGCGCATTCCAGGAAAACTCGCAATGTTTCGGTAATGTTTGTGAGAGAGGGAAAGCGATTTTAAAGCACAGAATTAAAGAATGACATTATATGATAAAGAGGTTATCACGCTTGTGTGTTTGGGGATGGTAAATAACCTGTATTAGGCATAAACACTATGTATTTAGCTCGCCAAGGCTCGCTAAGTACAATTTTATTCTTAATGCAGGATATTTACCATCCCCAAACACACTCGCGTGATAACCTCTATTGATGAACAATAAAATACACAGCCATATTACACTTGTTAAACTTAACATTTTTTCAGTGAAGTTATGAGGCCCCTAAATTTTCTGGGGAGGTTTAGTTGAATACCTTTGGGGGAAATATTTATTTTTTCTGGCATCTAAATTCATGACTAAGATATTAATGCATGTGATTGATTATCAAAACCGGAGCAAACATAAGGAAGTTGGAATTAACACATTTCTGGCAGCCGGGTTTGATTACAAAGGATAATGTAGTAACAGAATTTGAAATATAATTCCTAAATGCACCCTACAACATCATATCAAATGGATGTCAGGAGATACGCAATAACCTTATGAATTAACAGTGTGGATGGGCATCTTTGTCAACTGAAGTAAGACGTGTACATTGTTCAACCAAACTTAACTTAGATCATACCTTGGTCAACGCAAATTCGCCACAGTCATCTAATTCTATGAATATACCAAAAATATATGATAGATGTAGGAAGACATAATTTTGTTTATTTTTTATTGACAACTGATCAAAGTGGAGATATGTTAATGCATATCTTTTGTTGGCGTTTTAAGCTGTTGAAGTGAATGCATAATGTTTAGAAAACATATTAGCTTCAGTGATATTCCACAATTAATGTTCACCTATCTTGACATTCCAGAGCGCCAGTTGCTCGAGAGACAAGTTCCTCATTCATCTTCCTCATTCCACCACTGTTTCTCTCAAAGCCATGTGCTTACTGATGATGAAGAGTCATCCCAGAGCAGGAAAGACATGACTGCATCAACTGATACAAATCACCACATCTTAGATTATAGCATGCACAAACGAGATGGCAGTCCTAGTAATTATTTTGGGAAACAGGAACAAAGGAACATTCCAGAAGAATCAATATTGGATGTTCAGGGAAAGACTTGGGGGATGTCAGATACCACATCACATTCATCATCAATAAAAGAAACTGTTCCACCAGAAGCACATCAGAGTACATCTTCAAAATGTGCTCTGAGTACACCAAAAAGAAAGAATGGAATTGAAAAATTAATCATGAAGAAAATGATGGAAAGGGGACAAGAAGTTAATGAATCAGGCCCTAAAAGGGCTTTCTGTATGGCTCATCCCTTGTCAAGACAGACAGTGTTTAAGTTTACTGGAAAACAGAATTATGAATCAAAAGAACCATCAAAATATATGTCCAATGAAAATGCAACTATTATGCCTCCTCCTCTACCATTCAAGATAAATCCATTCTTTCCAAATAGTATGATGTTGGACAAGACCCTGGCGGCTTTCCAACCCCCAGTGAAACAAGGAGATCCCTCTTACAAACTTTTTGGAAGTCCAAACAGATCAAATCTAGGATCACCACTGTATTATCCATCTTCCTCTCTTCCTGGCATGTTCCATCTGAACCAGTTATATCCATTTCCAGCATATCCAGGGCTCCAATCTTGGCCTCTATACCCCCCAACATTCCAACATGCCTCTATCCCAAATCCTGTCACGGGTAACTTCCAAAAGCCAAGTACACAATCTTTAAATGAACAAGTACTTAACCTCAGTAAGCCTAAATCTGATCAATTTGGGTTAAGGGGATATAGAACTCTCCCTTATCCCTTGAAGAAAAAGGATGGAAAGATGCATTACGAATGTAATGTTTGCTTTAAGACATTTGGTCAGTTATCTAATCTTAAAGTTCATTTGAGAACCCATACAGGTGAGCGACCATTTGTTTGTCAAACATGTGGAAAGGGTTTTACTCAGTTGGCTCATCTTCAAAAACACCACTTGGTACATACAGGAGAGAAGCCCCATGAATGTCACACCTGTGGGAAGAGGTTCAGCAGTACAAGCAATCTCAAGACCCACATGAGACTTCATAGTGGGGAAAAACCATTTCATTGCAAACACTGTCCCGCCAAATTCACACAGTTTGTTCATCTTAAACTCCACAGAAGATTGCACACAAATGAGAGACCCTATGAGTGTCCTCAGTGCAACAGAAAATATATCAGTGCCAGTGGGTTGAAAACACATTGGAAGACTGGTAGTTGTGTTCCTGCAGGTACAGTAGCTGATTACAACACTCTTGTTGATGCTACCTTCTCTTTCACAAAGGAAATGGATATCAGCAAAGATTTTGTCTTCTCTCCTGTAACCAATATTGTAGATGGACAGGAAGACATAGAAGGTACCTATCAGCAGCTAGGTATTGGAAATTGCAGCAGCAGTGAGGATGACTTGGAAGCAGGAAATGATATGGGACAGCACACAGAGGTGGGACAGCACACAGAGCTGGGGGAGAACAAAGAGACAGCTCTCAAACAAGGCACCCTTGATTGTGATAAGACACACAATGCAGATCAGGAAGCCTAAAAGACTGACAAACCAAAGGTTTTAAAGATAAGGACGAGTATAGTATCACTATTACAATTATGAAAGAGTAATTCAAGTGAATTACTTCAGCACAAAAGAATAGTGTTCTCACATGAATAAAACAAGGCAAACAGAGAGAAAGGAGGTTCTAATATGTTGAAATAATATATTAGGTTCAGAATGACATGTTTCCACATGACATTAACTGTTGACAGAGGGAAAAAGTGATAGATAAGTAAATGATTGTTTAGTGAGACAAAATTACTTTCAACACAATAGGGTAGTTTACAATCAGATTATAATTCAACCTGAACATTTCTAGAATATCACGCCAGATTGGAAAGGTCATACAAGGGTTATTTGCTATGGCGTCACAGCCGGCGAAACTTGATTGCGCCGGCAATGAATTTGGCTCAGAATATTTTGGTACCAGTTATGTGTCAAAAATATCTAAAGAGAGTTATATATAATCAGATTTGGGTTATATTTTGCCTATGGGGATTGAAAATGAATCATATGTCCGATGTAAGGGTGTATCGGTCAGTGAGGAAGTCACCATGGCTGAAAGTTAAAAGCGTGCACTACTTCGAAGCACTCATGTCAAGCAGAGTATATTATATTGTCAACATATAGCATGTCAATAATATATTATTCATCCGAGGGCGGGGTAACTAAATTTTGTTTTTACTTTCCATCGTAAGTGTATGGAAGTACTGGAAACCGTAAACACAAGCACAAGTTACAAATCATGTGGATATCTATAAATAGATTATCAACAGTTACATTGCCCACGTTTTCTGTCTGGTGCTCTAAGTAAAACCAATATAACATGAAAGGCATAGAGTCAGTGGGTCTTTTTAATGAATAAACATAAAAGAATAATTGATAAAATCAAAGCAGTACATTATTTCCCCTCACTGCTACATTGGTTTTTATTATATAATAAATGAATTATAACATATCTTTTATTTGGGCATCTGGAACATGGGGTTGGGCATGTCACCAGGGATAAATCTAGACCTGCTAGAGGCTGATTTTCTGCATCAGATGTCAGTAAACTTTCCCTCTTCAGTAATTTTAACATATCTATGACATCCTAAAATAACACAGAATGTAAAGAAATTATAGGTTATTAGTTTTTTCACAATCTGATTGACAAGGGCACTTAGTTTGGAATTCTAATTTTAGAGAAAAATCCCTGGTCCCACTTCCAGAATATTGGACTTAATGAACTGCCAGTGTTTAGATACATGTATGCATGGTATGTGAGAACAGTGGAAAACATTAAGAGGATCCAAGATAAAATGAGCACCTGTAATTACCATGGCAAATCAGTCGGATCCATGTTCCAGAAAAGGGGAACCTGTGATGGCAAAATTACATGTATCTGAAGACAGGGTCTGCGGTACTTCCCATCAATTAACTTGCATTGATAAAATAAACAACACAAATTAAAATTCATATATGATCTTTCATTCAAAAGAATTGTCATGAATCCAAGAATTATTACTGTTAAAATCTAAACTTGTAAATTAAGTAAAACAAATATTTCATAAGGAAGAGAATTTATGGATGTCAACTTCTTTATTATCAGGAACACCATAAATGTTCTTCCTTATGTGTATCACTTCTAAATGCCTTCAAAGACTTAATCAACAATAAGTTCAAAGCTTTAATCAACAAAATTACCTGTTGACATCAAGACTATTACTGATTAAGAAGAAATAATTGTGTTATTGCACCAGAAACCACATGCCTGTAGGACAAAACACTAAATAATATATATTTCATTTTACAAGTCACATGTGAAGTGACAAGTACTACTTATGCATGAAACAACATACATTTAAATGCAAATATCAGGTAGCTAGACACCTGGAATTCATTAGATATTTTAACATATATCCAAAGTATTCTTCACAAATGCTGGTGTGAACATGATTTTTCTTTTAATAATAAAAATACACACAAACAGGGATTCAGACCAGTTCCTTTTTGAGGACACTGACTGATTGTCATCCATAATGTCCTAAAGTTCTAAAATTTGGCAGAGTCATATCACAAGATAAAAAAAACAAAACATGAAAATGTCCTGAAGCCAGCAAAATCACTGTGAAGTAAATATGAAGCTCATTCTCAACATAATCATAACCAAAACTTGAACAATATGTAAATAACCAACATCCTTAATAAACACTAGCTCTTGCTCAGTTATCAAACATTGACAATCTCATCAAATCATGGTAAAGAATTACATTTTGGGTTAAATACATTTCAATATTCATCACAGTTTTATATAAAATGTATTAAGAATTATATAATTTATTCTATATCAGAATTGATCAGGCACTCTGGATAATGCTGATCAGGGTGTAACAAAGAAATACTGTCTTTGTTTTTACATATTTCTTTGTATCTTGAAATAACTTTCATGTGTTATGGTACTGGTAATCACTTTCAACACTATCTTTCTAAAAAAATATTAATTAAAAAGAAATAATATTATGTCCTTTAGAAAGAGCCAAGAAGCTAAGTTTTATGCCAGGTGGATGTTGTACAATCAAACATTTAGTGTTTGTTAGTCCTGCTGTTAAATCATATTAATCTGACTTTTATACTGTATCAATTACATAACTGGTTTGAATAGTTATTAATTACTTGATCGGATTAATATTCATATTATTACTTCATTATGATACTTTGAGTTCATAAGAAATCTTGCTATCATTTCCAGTAAATTAATTAAAATGACTTGACACTTATCATCGTTTTTTACAGTTATATTGTTTCACTAAAATGTACATGTATATGCGTAAGCTTCCACTACCAGTGAATAACTGATGTTGCAAACAATTCTAAACCAATAATTTTCTTATATTAACTGACATATTTTATTTCAGTCTGTCAAAATATTTCAGTAATTCACTTCCTTCTCACGAAATGTTCCTCTTCTTTCTAACCTTGAAGGTATGATTCCATTTCACAAGAATAGGATCAGGTAATTCATTACTGCATGGGTCTTGTCTCTTCATAGAAATGCTGAAATAGTCAAAGCATGATTTAAAGGAAACTTATATGAATTAAATTGAAAGATTTTGTGGAACAAAACCATTGACAATGATTATATTTCTATGTTTAAAGAATTATTACTTCAAGAGTAATTTGAAATATTATGCTCGAGTAATTTGCAATATTAATAGATAGGTTTATTGTGATTTTTGTGATTTTGAAACAAAACTCAGATCTAAAAATTTGTAACAAAATAAATGATATCTAAAAGAGAGGAATACAATATCTACCAGATTGTACTTCAATGTAAATAATGGTAGATTTTGTTCTGCACAAACCAAAATCAGATCACTGTCATATTTGTTTACAGTGTGTCACGGCCGTCTCGCATGTAACATTTCAGCAATATGACCTGCTAACTCAATGCCCGAAGTTGGCAAAATACATAATTCAAAAATTATTTTGTAGTTACAAGCATTATCCTTGTTTATAACAATGCGTAAAATCATAACTTGCTACATGTTGTCATTTATTCATATTGAATATGGCATATGGGCAAAAGTGAGGAAATTCGTGCAAATTCTCACCTTCGAGCAGATGTGGGTCCCTTGGAAGATGGTGGCGACATTCAACTGATGGTGAGGCCTACCGCACATCTTGATCTGCCTCAAACATTTTTCTCTTGACCCTGTGTGTTTGGGTAAAGATCTACATCTGATCCCAGCGATACGTAATGGATATCGAGAGTGAAAATAGCACAAACTGTCGCCATGTCGCTTCTCAGGGATCGTTTGACCCCAGGAGTAAGTCTGACAAATCCACAACGCGCGCCCGGCCTTCTGACTGGATCAAACTCATGCATGCACTAGTTTTGAATGACAGACTGGATCGGTCTATTGGCTGACCAATGGGTATTCATAACATTTTCAATATGGCTGCCATCATGGCCATGTTTAAAGTTTTATTTTGATATGTTGGGTGTCCTTAAACAACTGAGTTGCAATAAATAACAAATGTTAGTGTACATGTTACATACTATCTGTTTAACATTTCACTGTCATGCACTCAGAAATATACTGAACAACAAAAGTTCCTGTGACATTGAATAAGATTTAATGCAAAATTATGTTTTTTACCAAATCTGAAACAATTTCGGATAAAAGGCTCCTGTGTTCATACTGACTTCAGAAAATGCATGATTTCATAAAAAAACATGAACATGCCAAAATGTCAATTTACAAATCAGTAGCGCGTGTGTCCACCTCTGGTTGCGATGCAAGCAACATATCTTCATCTCATGGAATGGAACAGGCGTCGCACAAAGTCCTGTGGGATATCTGTCCATATCTGCTGGAGCATGTTTCGAAGTTCCTGGAGTGTCTGTGGAACACGTGGTTGACGTCGAGGGGCTCTGATCCATCTCATCCCACATGTGCTCGATTGGTGAGAGATCTGGGGAGCGAGCCGGCCAGGAGATGACATTCACGTTGTTTTGTTGAAGAGAATCCTGAACAAGGCAAGCAATATGAGGCCGGGCGTTGTCATGTTGAAAGGTAATGCCTGGGCCATGACGACGCAAAAACGGTAGAACAACAGGGCCGATGATCTCGTCGCGGTAGCGCTGTCCATTGAGATTTCCCTCTTCCACTATCAAATGGGTCCTCTGTCTTGCTGTAATCCCACCCCATACCATAATGCTGCCGCCCCCGAACCGATCTTCTTCCATGACACAATTATTGACCTAACGTTCACCTTGATGTCGGTACACTCGAATCCGTCCATCACTGTGGCTGAGGTGAAAACGAGACTTGTCAGTGAATAGAACTTGTCCCCACTGCATGGCCGTCCAGCGTAGATGCTGTCTGCACCACTGTAGACGTGCTTGACAGTGGTTTCCTGTCAAAATGGGACGTCTGGCGGGTCTTCTGGCGACAATCCCTGCACATCTGAGGAGACGACATACGGTTTGTGAACATATTTGTCGAAGGCCAGGGATGCTTCTTGCAGTCACTGTTGCTGACTGGAATCGATTTTGTAGGTGTGTTGTTCAAATCCAGTTGTCCTGTCGATTATTGGCTACGGGTGGCCTGCAATTCCAAGGATGGTCTCTGACTGCATTCGTCTGTTGCCAATGTTGCCATAAACACCAAATGGTGTTTCTGTGGACATTTAATTGTCTTGCAACATCATGTTGACTGGATCCTGCTTCAAACATACCATTGGCTCACAGACACTAGTTTTCGGACAGGCGTGGCATTTCATAATGTTGAATAATTGCGTAATTTTTTTGTTTTTCTGAGTGGTTGTTGTCAGCATGATGCTAATTAATGCATATGGAATTCCGTTAACGCACATGTTTTTATACCCATTTTTGGGTAGTGAAATGCATGGGGCTTGCATAAAAGTCAACTTTTGCATGGAATGCATGCTTTTATGTAGCAATTGCGTTTTTGTGACTTGATTCCATACATGTACTACAATATTGAAAACCAAACTTTACTTGTTTGAAAAATACACTAAAATATTGGTGTCACAGGAACTTTTGTTGTTGAGTATAGTTGCAATTTTCCATGCAAAGGCCTTGACATCATTGGTCTTATGGGCTCAGAGGTGAAAACGACAAGCCTTCATGACTGACGGGAAAACCTTGACATCAACTGACTAGAACCTTTGGTTCTTGTTAAGTCACATAGAATTGGGATGCTAAAATGTGTATTTGAAACCTTTGATATGTGTATATGAATTGTCAAAGAATGCAAGCTGAGAGGCACAAGAACATTGCATTTCAAATGTCTTGGGTTTAATGACATTACTTGACAAAATGTTGTACTCATTTTAATATTAAAAAGTGAATAAAAAGTGGCAGCACTATAATGTCAAATGTATATTTTTATAACTATTTTTCTATTAGGGACCAGTAATTTATTACAGGAGTTGCTCAGAGAGTTTTGACTGAAAATGTACTGAAATCATTACCCTCCCCTAATGCTTGTCATTATATTTGAAGGGGGGGTTGGGGGGGGTGGGGGCGCGGTCGGGCGGGCAGCCTAGTGGTTAAAGCGTCGCTCGTCACGCCGAAGACCCAGGTTCGATTTCCGACATGGGTAAAATGTGTGAAGCCGACTTCTGGTGTTCCCAGCCGTGATATTGCTGGAATATTGCTAAAAGCGGCGTTAAACCATACTCACTCATTCATTATGTTTGGATAACCCTCCCCCATTTCCTTCTATATTTTGTTCATGACCCTCCCTGAAAAAATAAATGCAAAAACACTTCATATTTATTGTAAATGTCCATTCTTTCATGACTGTTCCCCAAAATGTGTTATTTTATATGACCCTCCCAAGAGAGTGAGTGAGTGAGTATGGTTTTACGCCGCTTTTAGCAATATTCCAGCAATATCACGGCGGGGGACACCAGAAATGGGCTTCACACATTGTACCCATGTCGGGAATCGAACCCGGGTCTACAGCGTGACGAGCGAACGCTTTAACCACTAGACTACCCGACAGCCCCTCCTCCCGAGAGACTTTCATATTGTTTGGGATCCTCAAAATTCTTTAGTATGTGTTTATAAGATTTGGTTATTACAAGGGTATTGGAGGTAACTCACCTGGTGTAAACAATTTTTTTATTTTTTTTTATTATTAGAAATGTAAACATTTCATCCATCTAATCATTTCAGTAAATAAACAACATATATCATAATTTGTGACTACAACATGACATGTAATCTATCATAAGTGTACCAGTACTGCTTGACTTTTTCCTCTGATTGACATCTTTCGGTTGTCAGCACCATACCAATGCCATAGGTTTGGGCTTTCCTCCTCATATAGCTGACATGCTGTGATATATACCTGAAATATTGGTCAAAGCAGTGTTAAACCAGCTTAAATCCCTGACGTACATTTGGTGTTACCCATGTTTACCACTATTAGACAGAACAGTGTATCAGTTTCATCTAAGGGCCTTTAGTAACATGAACTTAATGATGATTATGTAAACATGCTTCCTTGATTTCATTTGTGTAATCCCAAAAGTGCCATATTCTGGGTACACAATTCTTACAGTGATAATTATTTTCAGCAACTTTGCTATCTCTTCTATATATTTCATTCATGTCATTCTGATAGAAGTGCAGTGATTTGCCTGTTTTTTGGTAATGTAATAAACCAATGCAATAAACATATCTGTTTGTACATGAATTTGTTATTGTTATTATATATATCAGATGGTTAAGTACTAGGTACCACACAAATCCCAAGGCCTTAGGCCTAATGACCAAGGGCAGATAACTGAAAAACAAGTAATTTTTGAAGATCTATTTTGCCCTATTGCTCGGCAACTCGGCAACCGAAGATTTGATTACTTTCAAACCTGGCATGTGTCTGCTGCTTTAGGTGCTTGACATTTTCTGTTCTTTGACTTTGGTCATTGGTCACATGGTTTGGCAGCCATATTGGATTCAAGGTTTTCACTGTGTGTTTTGGGTACATGTCTTCAAATGCATACTCCTGTGAATCCACTGTATGAAATACTTTAAAACTTTCAGAGAATTGTCTCCATACATTACACATTAAAGGTTGGTAGCCATTTTCTTTTATCTTTCTTAGTTGCAGCCATATTGGATTTGGATTTTGATCGTTTTTTCTCAAATTATTTTTCTTTCAACATCAAATTTTGTAAGGTTCTTCACAGAAACTATTGAAAGTTTACATGAAGTTATTGTGCCATATGTATCTCATTTGTAAGTAACATCACTTGGTGGTAATATGACGGTAATATTTGATTTTAGCCAGGAACCAGATTTGAGTACAAATACTGAAGGAAGCACTCCAGAAATATGCGATTATTCCCCCCCTCCCCATTCACTGGTTTTGCAGAGACTACACAGCAATACACAGTCTTATCGCAAATGTCTTGTGTATTATGTGTACCACCCTTAAAGATCAGGGTTAGAATTGGTCGTCAGCAACCCATGCTTGTCTTAGGAGACGACTATGCTTGTCGTAAGAGACGATTAATGTGATTGGGTCATTTGCCAATTGCTACAGTACCTTACTTTTGACGGCGTTGGTAAAAGCAAACCATTTGATGATTCGAACATGGTTGAGGTCGGAACACTCTGGTACACGCCAATTTCATAGTGTCGATGTCCTGCAAACGGTGACTATCCTTTCACTGAATTGATACAAACAAACCATTTGAAAATTTTAACATGGTCGAAGTAGGAAATAGATTTAGAACACCCTAGGATATCCCAGGACATGCCAATTTCATAGTGGCAATGTCCCCGTAAGCGGTGCCTACATTTGATGGCATTTATACAAGCAAACCATTTGAGAATTCGAACATGGTCGAGTTCGGAAATGGGTTTAGAATGCCCTCTGACACTCCGGCACACATCAATTTCAAAGAGTCTATGTCCTGTAAGCGGTCATTATGTTTTGACGGCGTTGGTACAAGCAAACCCTTTGAGGTTTTGAACATGGTTGCGGTCGGAAATGGGACAGCACACGTCAATTTCCTAGTGGTGATGTCTCACAAGCGGTGCCTTATTTTTGATTGCATTGGTACAAGCAAACCATGTGAGGAATCGAACATGGACGAGCCCGGAAATGGGTTTAGAACACTCCTGGACACTTGAGCACACGCCAATTTCGTATCGGCCATATGCCGCAAGCCTTGCCTTACTTTTGACCGCATTGGTAGAAGTAAACCATTTGAGGATTCGAACAGCGTGTCACGCAATGGCAGCCGAGACAGCGATGCGATGGGTTTGTTAGACGTCAACTAGTTTTGTGGAAGATTGTGTCACATGAACACATAAGCACCTCCCATTGTAGACTTAAGACCATTGTAGGTTTATGGGTCAAACACGGATGTCGTTGAATCTACATTACATACCTAGGTGTAAATACTTCGTATTCATAAAACGATATGAAAGAAAAAGTTGTATTTCATGGACTGGCCATACAAGTAAATTTTGAGCAAAGGTCTAAATAAGGCAGCCAAGTGCGAAATACTAGCTGAGAAGAGGATGTATGTTTTCTAGTGGTCACAGTGAAACAAATTTGTTCCGAGTTTCGAGCACATGAACTGTATATATTCAACACTACTTTAATCGAAGAATTTCATATTTTCGTAATTTTCTCGTTCACTTATTCTAGATATTACGTATAATTGTACCGTAAAAACAATAATATTGCCTTCTTTCACCTGTGGAAGTTATCGTTACCTTGTATTAAATATAGCCTACTCTACGCTTCTTGAGCTTTCAAATTCAAGTCTTAAAATTGTTCAATAACATCTCGTTTCAAGCTTTTTATAAATTAGATTTCAACCATTAACAACACATCGTAACATACGACGTATAAATAAGCGGTCTGTGTGGATGCACAACAAAGCAATGCTTGTATGACATATTATTTATTAAACATATCTTATTGTCCAAAAAGACAAAGGGATCGGGCACGAGTGCACCGCTTATTACCGCCTTCTCCCCATATACAGTTAAACAGTGCTGATATGAAGGATATGTACAATGTGCTGGAAAGTGAAGACAGTGTGCATCTCATACATATGCAAATAATACATTTTAGTTTTAATATATACATGTAGATTTAACAATGTTAATGATTAACGATTTGGAAACAATAATATGACAGATACAGAATCTGTTAGTCGTTTCTATATATTTGTGTACAGACAAGAAGATATTTGTATTCAGTCAAACATTTTGGTTTGGGTCACCAAAAAGAATACTATGTAGAGTCTTTTGTCCTCCAAGATAATCGATAGCTGACAGTGATGTCTCCCTAAAATCATCATATAAGGTACATTCGAAGAAGAAATGGAAAGAATTTTCACAAGGAGCTCCGCATTTACAGGAAATAGTATCAGATAACAGGTCGGTACTTAGTGTGCTACAATTGCGTCTAAATCTATTGTTCAATATGTTTGTAGATCTCTTACCGCAATTATCGTACAAAAGTGGTGATGTAGGCTGCTCAGATGCGACAGCTTTAAAATAAGATATTGACGAACTATCCCTTATTTCTGATGGTAGGTTATTCCATTGGCCTAATGTATCTATAACTTAAGACCTTTTAGATGTAGTTGTCAGTGTAAATTATGGCGGTTTCTGAGATTATGATTGACGTTCTGTGACACAGATGGCGGTATAAGATCAGTTACACATGAAGGGCATTGCTTATTAATTATTGTATACATAGTTACATGTTTGTTTGACGCTTCTTTTAAACGCTAATGGCTGTCATCCAGTTTCGTGATATAGGCTGAACGGAGAGGAAAACTTAGTTAATCCTGTTACTATTCTAGCTGCCTCAAGCTGTAGAAATTCTATTTTTTTAGCATTATAAGAGCAACTGTCCCAGACAACTGAGGCATATTCTAAAGTCGGTCTGATAAAAGCTAGATATATTCTAGCCAAGTTTTATCTACTTAACCGATATTTAAGTTTTCTCATGAATGAAACCATTTTTGGAGCACTTGATATGATCGTTCCATTTTTTTGTCTTGTGATAATGTAACACCAAGGTGTTTGTGACAGTCTACGTTTTCTATACATGTGTTATTGAAAACTATTTATGGTATTTCATCTCGAGTTTTATGCGTGAAGAATATATACTTGGTTTTGCTAGGATTGAATTGTACTAACCACGTTTGTGCCCAGTTATGTAATTTGCATAGATCTGTATTTATGGAGTTTTCAATATGCTTAATATCTGAAGATGATATGCCAATGCTGGTATCATCTGCGAACAAACGTGTCACATTTCTCACTTCATAGCATATGTCATTAATATAGATAAAAAATAATAATGGGCCAAGGACTGACCCCTGAGGGACGCCAGCGTTTTGTATTTGTTCACTGGAGAGACAACCGTTAACATTTACTTTTTGGCGTCTGTTTATGAGGAGGCTCTGGAACCATTTAAGCTGGTTATCACTAATAACATGTTGTCGTAACTTGTGTAAAAAAACCTTCTGCCACACTGGGTCAAATCCTTTAGAAATGTCACTGAAAATCATCTTAAATATTAATGCTGATCTAAAGACGTACGCATTTGATGATATAATTCTAGTAGTTGAAAAGTAGTGTCCTGGTACAAATCCTGATTGGTATTAACACAGCAAGTTATGATCTAACGCCGCATTCAGCAATATTCCAGCTATGTGACAGCGGTTTGTAAATAATCGAGTCTGGAACAGACAATCCAGTGATTTACATCACGAGCATCGATCCACCCAATTGCGATACAATGATATGCATCAACCAAGTCAGCGAGCCCGACCGCCCGATCCCGTTAGTCGCCTCTTACGACTTCGTGTGTTATTTGTAGTATTGGGTAAGTATTGGGTTATATTTTGTTTTATATCGTTTGGGGTTCTGTCATTTCTGCTTCCCTCAGTGCGTATCGCGTCACAAAAATAAAACGCCAACGCCAGAGAGCAAGCAGTCCCGACCATTCGCCAGAAAAGGCGACCTCAAAAAGGAAAACCAAAAATGCCACGAAAAATATTAACATATATAAATAGGGACTGGCAGGATCGGAGTCAATATTATGTGACGCCAAGTATATTTCTTAATATCAGCTGTGTCACATTTTGAATTGTTTTGTAACTTACACATTACTTGGAAGTAATCTGACTCTATCTTGGTCTTTACCCTTATTAAGTCCACAATGAAACAGATTGGTTGAACATAAAATATCATCAAGACTAGAACCTTAGCGAAACAATGCTGCACCAACACAGCGCTTTGGGCCAATCTTATTTTTCTGAATCAATGTGTCATATATATTGTTGTTGGTTTGGTAATGCGAGACATCAATTGCTTTGTTCCATTACAAAAGTCTCAAGGGTATTATTCTCACCACTCACTGTGTTCATTTCATATAATCAAGAATATAAGGTAGGCGACTTGTGATTTACTTGTATTACAAATATACGGGAATAACACCTTTCCAATTTATAGAGAGAACCCCTCCACCCCCACACACCAACACACGATGTATGAATGGTATGAATAGTTATTGATCGTAGTGGCCTTGCGAAGTAAATGGGCGTCATTGTACTGTTGTAATACTAGTATGTGTTGTTCATTGCCCAGCAACAAAACAAATAAACCCTGTCGGTAGTTCAGTGATCGAGTTAACATGGCGTTCACGGCTCCGTGCTGCTTTGAAGGAAAAGTTGGTGTTGGAGTATCAAATCGACCTCGAACATCTGGAGGGATTCATCTTCGTGTGACTGGGGTGCACCTACAAACATTGCCCCGCGAACATACACTTTGTGGATACCACTCAGCAAACACCACAGGCCATCTACCCTATGAAGATACCTTCTGGGAGACAGCAGGTAATCTGTGTTCAAATCGTATCTCAAATCACACATGTATGTCCTTTACGTTGGTGTTTTAAAGTATGTACATAAGCAATTATTGTAATGTCTTCAGCACTTGTAACGTTTTCACATTTTCTTGGTACGAATCAGGGAAATGTCACATGACAACCAGTGAGGACCAGGGAAATGTCCCATGACAACCAGTGAGGTCCAGGGGAAAGTCACGTGACAACCAGTGAGGACCAGGGAAATGTCACACGACAACCAGTGAGCACCAGGGAAATGTCACATGACAACCAGTGAGGACCAGGGAAATGTCACGTGACAACCAGTGAGGTCCAGGGAAATGTCACTCGACAACCAATGAGGACCAGGGAAAAGTCACATGACAACCAGTGAGGACCAGGGACATCTCACATGACAACCAGTGAGGACCAGGGAAATGTCACACGACAACCAGATAGGACCAGGGAAATGTCACGTAAAACCAGTTAGGACAAGGGAAATGTCACGTGAAAACCAGTTAGGACCAGGGAAATGTCACTCGACAACCAGTGAGGAACAGGGAAAAGTCACGTGACAACCAGTGAGGACCAGGGAAATGTCACACGACAACCAGTGAGGACCAGGGAAATGTCACATGACAACCAGTGAGGACCAGGGAAATGTCACGTGACAACCAGTGAGGACCAGGGAAAAGTCACGTGACAACCAGTGAGGACCAGGGAAAAGTCACATGACAACCAGTGAGGACAAGGGAAATGTCACGTGACAACCAGTGAGGTCCAGGGAAATGTCACGTGACAACCAGTGAGGACCAGGGAAATCTCACATGACAACCAGTGAGGACCAGGGAAATGTCACACGACAACCAGTGAGGACCAGGGAAATGTCACGTGACAACCAGTGAGGTCCAGGGAAAAGTCATGTGACAACCAGTGAGGACCAGGGAAAAGTCACATGACAACCAGTGAGGACCAGGGAAATGTGACATGACAACCAGTGAGGACCAGGGAAATGTGACATGACAACTAATGAGGACCAGGGAAATGTCACATGACAACCAGTGAGGACCAGGGAAATGTGACATGACAACTAATGAGGACCAGGGAAATGTGACATGACAACCAGTGAGGACCAGGGAAATGTCACACGACAACCAGTGAGGAACAGGGAAAAGTCACACGACAACCAGTGAGGACCAGGGAAAAGTCACATGACAACCAGTGAGGAACAGGGAAAAGTCACGTGACAACCAGTGAGGACCAGGGAAATGTCACACGACAACCAGTGAGGACCAGGGATAAGTCACGTGACAACCAGTGAGGACCAGGGAAATGTCACTTCACAAACAGTGAGATTGTGAGTTAGAACAACAACCTCGGGCAATTTTGTTTTGCATGATTACTGTTGACACTTCACACCAGCATATCACATGCCAATCAGTGATCATCACGGGCATGCTGTTCAACAACTGGGGGGACGCCTTACTAAGGCCTTCTTCACTTCTAACATCTGAAACGTTTAAGACGTTAAAACGCTGTGGACATTCGAAGGGGAAAACACTTGTTTCATGCTACTTAGATAGATATTAGAAAGATATATACTGAACCAAATTAAAAACTTCACAATCCTAAAATTTTAACATTTTGACCAGTTATCATTGTGGGCCGTTATTGAGTATTTTAACAGTAATGGCCACGTATTGTCTTCAAATAACACCCGTTTTTGTGCAGGTGAATCGATCAAAATCATGTGCACAGCACTATAGTGGCAAAATTAGTTTTTCACGTGCAACTGGTCACGTGGCCATAATACCGCACGAGTTCTCAGCCATACTTGTTAGCAGTCATTAACAAAAAAAGAAAAACACAAGAAAACAAAAGTCTTTACGGCCATTTGTCATGCCACGCCTTTCAAATGTGCAACGTGAACGCGCCATCGGCATGTTGCAGACGGGAACGTCCGTAGCTGAAGTCGCAAGGACGATGGGTTGTAGTCGACGGACTGTTTATGATTTACAGACGCGTCTACAGCAAACGGGTTCCACCGCTGATCGCCCTCGGCCAGGTCGACCACATGTGACCTCACATGCAGAGGATCGTCAGATTTTCTTACGTCACCTCCGTAACCGATTTTTGACGGCTACATCAACCAGAAATGAACTGTTTATGGGTAGACTGAGTGCGCAAACTATTCGAAACCGTCTGAGAACTGCTCACCTTCAAGCACGACGGCCATACTGCGGGCCGATTCTGACTCAATTACACAGACGTCAACGTCAATTGTGGGCACAGCGACACTTACGATGGACTCAGAGGAATTGGAATCAAGTCGTCTTCAGTGATGAATCCCGATTTAATCTTCGATTTGCTGATGGTAGGGCGAGGGTGTGGAGGCGCCGTCATGAACGTTACGCCCAGTGTTGTGTACAGGAAGTTGACAGATTTCGAGGCGGAAGTGTCATGGTGTGGGGTGCTTTCTGTGGCAATGCACGTTCCAGGCTTCTTGTCATCCGTGGCAACCTCAACGCTGCTGCTTACCGCGACCAGGTACTGGCACCAGAACTTCTGCCTTTTACGGCAGCACATGGACCCGGTTTGATCTTCCAACACGACAATGCCAGACCCCACACAGCAATTTTGACAAGGAATTTCCTTCAGAATGCGGGAGTCAACGTCATGGACTGGCCGTCAAGGTCTCCCGACCTCAATCCCATCGAACACGTCTGGGATGCTCTTGGCAGAAGTCTGCACTCTCCAGAACCAACCACAGAATTTGCAAGATCTTGGCACCATTTTGCAGCAACAATGGCGTCGTCTTCCCAATCATGTGTTCACAAGCATCACAAGGTCCATGCGGAGGCTTTGTGTGGCAGTTGTCAACGCACATGGTGGCCATACACGCTACTGAACTTGTGTGCCATCAGATTCTCGTGCTTGGGACTTATGATTTAAACTGTTGATGTTATTACCGAATACCGTTAATTAAAATCCTTCTTTGGACAAATGATTAAAAATTACCTTCTCTGATACATTTGTCCGTTGTATATCATATATGGGATTACTTTTAAAAATGTGAAGTTTTTAATTTGACTCAGTATATCATGGGGTTCAGAAGACAACGTTTACAAACCAATAGTAAAGACCTTTAAGTAGCTTTGTTAAACATTTTCTTAGTTTATTTTTTATTTGACATTGTTTCATTCATAAGTTCGTTTTGTTTGCTGTTGCAATATTCCGGCTATCTGACGGCGGTCTGTAAATAATCTAGTCTAGACCAGGCAATCCAGTGACTGATATATCTGTCCATCCGCCCATCCCCGCATCGCAATTCTTAAGTTTATATCCTCTAGGTCGGGAAGCCTAGTGGTTAGAGCGTTCGCTCGTCACGCCGAAGACCCGGGTTCGATTCCCGACATGGGTACAATGAGTGAAGCCCATTTCTGGTGTCCCCGCTGTGATATTGCTGGAATATTGCTAAAAGCGGCGTAAAACCATGCTCACTCACTCACAGATATTGAACTTTCAAGTTGATTAATTTTTGTGAAGTAAACTTAAAATCATTCTACATGCATAAAATAAATAAATATTCTCTGCAGATATGTGCCTGTTACACACTGATCTATCTGTTTTATATTTAATCTTGTCTTTACATAATGTTCCGTCTCAGGGTCTGTGCTGTTTGATGTTACCATTACTGGTAGAGGACTTAAATGACATACGGCTACACAAAGCTTAGGCTAAAAAGAGAAGATAATGTTTTTAGGACATTGTCGCCTCACTTTAAATCCTGCGCGTCAGTCATTATAATATAAAATGAGTATTTTTTCAAATTTCATGCTCGACTTGTATTATAGAGGTGAGTTCAATGTATGTCCAGTTGTTTTTGTTGGTATTCTTGGTGGAAAAAAATGTCACTATTGTTTTATCATGGACCTCAACGACAAGACTGTGTGGCACCATGAACGTTGGTTAACACTGGTTCAAAATCACAAATGTCAAGAACTCTCATGGATGCTGTCGTTTTGTATGTACAAGTTCCTGACAGTGTTCTCACAGATACAATTTACAGTAGTGCTGAAGGGGTCGTTGTCCGTACAGGTACTACAGATATGTACCCCAGATGTAAGTTGCTGTGTCAACTTATATGTGAATAAACAAAAAGAGTGAACTTCTAAATAAACCTTTTACTGAGGTAAGTATGTTCGTACATGATCGCGGGCTTCCGGTCGTCGACCTAGACTGGGTTCCTTTCTACCTAAACTATAGTAGACACGCGGCGGAGAAGACGACATAGGTATTTTGATTAATATATATCTCCCCTTATTTTCGTTCATGGTATGGAAAATGTGGATGAGTAAAACGGAATTTGACGCTTTTTCGACACAGCATAAAACGACTAAAAATAATGTCTTGAATAAATAAACCATTAGATAGTTTACCGTGGACAAGACATGCACATGATTGACATTAATCTTACGTAATCAAGTACCCAAAAGAATATTTCGAAACAAACAAAATTATCTTCAATATTTAACATGTCTTTGTTCATTATTATGTGATTATTTCTCTTTTTCTCGTCTAAGATTCATACAATAAAAGTATGCGAAGAAAGCTCCTTTGGAATAGAATTATCAGGATAATCGTACAAGGTGCGACCAACGGAGTACATGTCAAAGTTTATATATTTTATACTTTTTACAATTCTTGAGAAAATGAAATATAAAGTGTAATACACACCACATTTAAAAAAGGGTGAACCCATTGATACAAAACGAGAGGAATAATTCATAAATCGTTTCTGGTATATCATACTGAACATTGATAAATATCCATAGTGAAGTTAATTGTGTGAGGAAATAAAATATAAAAATATATGCAAAAGCTACATCATGATTGTAACTGTAAACAGCAGGATACAATGATCGTGTGTACTTTCATTCAATGACCTTCAAATTACCAAATTTGTACAACAAAATTGACGTATGACATCACTACCGGTGACCGACTTTT